GGCCGCCCCGGGGGCGGGGCGCGCGCTCCCCTGCTGGGGAGACTGAGGCCCGGGGCTGGGTCGACGGCGTCGCGGGCTCTGTTGTCCCACCGGGAACCCACAGGCTTCCATTGCCCCCCTCCCCGCGCCGTGTTCCTGGCACCTATGAAGGACTCAGTAAAGTGTCCGCAGAATAAACGAATACAGACCTGGGACTTGAACCCCCACCCTCCTCTCCTGCCTGCCTGAAATCCCGCGTGGGGATGGGCTGAGCGGTAGCAAACCCGAGTCTTAGCCCTCTTGGATTCCAGCAAAGAGCCCAGCTCAGCGCCAGGCTCCTCCAAGCTTATTGGGTTGGAGCAACAAGCAAAGAGATGGTACAATCACACAGTGCTTTTACAAAACTGCGTATTTTAAGGGACTGTTTCTGTTTTCGTCTCAACACACACACGGTCGCTTATTCTCTATGAATTTGTGCATATCAATCAAAATGGTTATGGAATTTAGCGTTGGGGTGGGATTTTTGTTTAAAAGATACAAACAACTTTTATTTTTGCGAATTGGACAAAGGCTCCTTCTCCATCAGACCTCTGATATCTGCAGGACTGTTAGCTGAGGGAGGGGGGAGGCTGCCCCCTTAGTTGGTTTTGTTTTATTTTACTTACTCAAAGGCACCTTTTAAATTCTCTTTATGTATTAGGTTCCCATTTTTTTTCTTGACACCCAACTGGGGTTGGGAATTGTCTTTTACTTCTTTGATTTTGTTTGTTTTTTCAGCTTGGGATGTGTTTAAGCGTCCCACCCACCCAAGGCAGAGCTACTGTCTTCCAGCTTATGAGGGAGAGGCTGGCGCTGCAGGATAGTCTTGCTGGTGAAAGGAAGGTCGTGGGGTCCCACCTGGAGGGGTGATGCCTGCTTGAGGACAAGCAGAGGGTCTCAGGGGCCTCCAAGACAAGCAATCTGTGTGGACATTCATTTCTAAGAGAAAAGGATTCAGAGTTTCCAGTCTCTGTTTTAAAAATTTATTGATTCTCAGTCGAATCCATGAAGGATTTGGGACCTATAAAAGCCATCCTCTGGTCCCACCTCTCTCCCACCCACCGCTTCCTCTCCACCCTGAGCCAGTGTAAGTGAAAAGAACAGGCAACCTGATCTCACTCTCTTCGTGTGCCACATCCTGTTTTCAGATTAATGAGCTCATTTGGTGGAAATTTACCAAGGGAAATAGTTTAATTTTGGAAAGTACCAAAAACTTATCTGTAGTCACTGGGCTTATTTTGGTGGGCTCTTGAAATAGAGGGGGCATCACCGGAGGACCTCTCTGTGCTCAGAGAACGGCAAGGCTGCAGAAATTGAAAGCGGAGCCCCGTGAGGCTGAACCTGACTCAGAAAGGAAATGAAACTCTTTGGAGACCACTCATCTCTATCTAGTAGGAAAATTTTTTTTCTAAAAATAAGTTTAAAAAGAAAAGTAGTGCCTCTGCCTAAGGCCTAAGATCTGGTGGTGTGAGCATGGGGCCATGACTGAGGAACAAGAAAGCTAACCCAGGGAAGTTTGAGCCTCAGCAGTTCGTTTCACATCCATATTTGCTCTGCCTGTTCTAAGAGGCACCGGAAGGCTCCCATTCTCCAGTTTTGCCCCAATCCTTCAGCTGTCAGGCTTTTGACATTGAAGTTGCCTGCCTTGCCTCATAGCCTTTTGAGCTTGTGGCTTCTGCAAGAAGCTAAGGACTAAATGGCCCGGAGGAGTCTGGATAATTAAAGTTTTGTGAGCCATTCTGCATTGAAGATGGTAGAGCACATGTGACCAGCCCCCTAAGTGTCTGACCACCTCCTGGCCTGCCCTGTTTCCTAGAGTAGAGATTTTTAATCCTTTCTAAGATGCAGAATAGAAAACTGGTGAAAACTGACAAGGCCTTGACAATTTAGTACTGGGATGAAAGGAATTGTGGGTGCCTTCTCTCTGCCCCCATCTGAAATCTGTAGTGATATATTGGAGGATATATTTATATATTGGAATGAGCGCTGGGCTAGGAGTCAGGAGACTGGTGTTCTGTTTTTTTCCCCCCACCACTAAACCAGTTGTTTAGGGGAAAGGGGGTGGGCAGATAAGTAAATGAATACTTGAGTAATAATTCAAGAAATAATAGTTCATAGATTTTTTTTTTTTTTAGTGGAAAATGACCTTAAAGATCATGGAATGTATTGGGTTTTTCTAACTTTGTGATGGGTTTTTTCTGTGTGTCTTCGAATGCTTTCTCACATGGAGCCAAAATATACAAACCAGCTAGAAGCAGAGATGCTCTGTTAAGCAGAGCAGGTGGCTAGGGGCCTATGTGCTGGGCTTCTCTCCGCCCCATCCTAACCTCTGGGCTCTAGGGTCACAGTTTGAAAATCATGGACCTAATGAGATGTTCTCAGGTCCCAGACCTGGAAACTGGGCTGGCTTGCCTCTGCTGTCCCAGCTCGTTCAAACTATTCTCCAACAACTGTGCCTTTGCTTGCATTATAGTTCAGGTTGCTGGTAGCCAAGGGCATTAGAGGAGGAAGAGATTACTCTGGCCTGGGTCATTAGCCTTCCGGGGGGAGGCAGGATGAGAATAGAATCTAAGTATCTAGAAGATTGGGGTCTATGGTGGTGGTAAAAATAATAACAGTGACAATAATAGTGTCTACTCTTTATTTAACATCAGACACTGCTCTCAGCACATCACATGCACTGCTCCATTTACTAAAATCACCAAGAAGGAGTAATAAAACTATTTTCTACTTTCCAGATGAGAAAACTAAGGCTTAAACAGTTAAGTCACTTGGTCAGTTCAAGCAACTAGTCGTTGGCAGCACTGGGAGGGGGAAGAGCGTTCACTTCAGGCTTCATGTGTTATTTCCACTTGTTCAGACCAAGCTGGGATCTCACCTAGTTCCTCACTGGCAAGCTGCGCATTGTTTTCCCGCCCTGGGCCTCAGTTTCCTCATTTGTCAGGTGACAAAGATGGAACAGATAGTCCCTGGGATCTTTTGCAAGCTGTCACTCCCAGTTTATAAAATCCATGCCTGAGGTATAGGTAGGTGAA